TGCAAGCTATACAAACAGGTAGCTTGTTCTTTTATACTTTAGTAGAGCACAAACGGCAACATCTATATGTTTTTTGTCAAATTTGCATATGGTCACCAACTTTTGTCAATATTACGTCATCTGGAACAGTTGTATTGCTGCTCAGGGAATTTACGGGTCTTACTTTGCACTTACGATATGAAAATCCAGATATAAGGTGTCGTACTAGCCGAATTGCTAGCAACGCAAATCATAGATGGGAAAATAACTTCCCATGGTTATACAAAAATTATTTAAGTTGGTGGAGAATTTTCCCATCATGACTTTATAGAGGGTTAAAGAAACTTAAGTATTGTTACTGATACGTCTTATGAAATATTTCTATAATTGGTTGAAAAATTAAATTTAAATATTACTACAGTATTTAAAAAATACATAGAAATTGTGGTAACTGTTTAGATACAGAGCTAACACCTGCTCATATTTTTGACTGTCCAGTTATTCTTGCTGCTCTAAAAGAAATAGGGGTCTTTTTTGTGTTTTCGTCAACAAACCTCTGTATGGATAATATTAAACATATTTCTAGAACAGTCATCTGGTCCCATGGTACTTACTGTCTGATATGGTTCCGTTATGGATACGACATCATCATCAAAAAATATAGTTCTAGTCTTTTTTCTACCAATAACTCAGAAAGAAAATAAATGACGTTAAAAAAATATTTTAAAGTTTCCAACAGAAGTAGACCTAAAATAATAAAAGTGATAATTTTAAAAATAAATCAAAGGTAAAGATAAATCAAAAGAAAAATGTGCCAAATTTTAAAATAATGAAGCTAAACTGCATTTTTAAATAAAGGTATTGCACAACACTATAGCTATTTCTTAGTAGTGTGTGTGTGTTCACCATTCCACGCACTTCCTATTTCATAAAATATTCATATTTTGAGACTACAAGGTCAACATTCTACAAAGTTGTCGCATAAAACCAGTCAGCACATTTATACAGTGTACTTTATAATGCTCTCTATCACTCGAAAAACTCATCATAAAATCATGTCTTCTTCCTTCAGTAAGAAAGTAAGAAGATAAATACCTACTTTAAATAGATATATGGATTCATAACGACAACAAATGTTGGTAAATGGTCGAATTTTCTACAGTTCAGTAATTTCAAACTCGTTTCTGAGTGATTTATCATCTCGTATATGACACATTAAGAATTTCATCCGGCTTCAGAATCTTTCCAGTGACATATTTGAGACACAGATTCCATCAACATATCACCAGATGTTATCACATACATAGTAAAACTATTATTTCCAGTTTTTTTCAAAAAAGCATTTTTAAAGTTTATTACAATTAGCTCAATGAAGTTTCCTGAAAGGTATAAAAACTTATAACATAATAATCAACTCGTTTTTATGCAATATTCTTTACTCATTGCTATAATTGTTGTTTAAAAATTACACTTGCTTGTATTTGTAAAACACATTATTATTTATTATATATAAATATATTGTTAGACCATATTATTATACTTATAAAGTTGTACAAAAAAGGAAAAAAAACATAAACGCATTCAAATTCCCAAATGTATGCAATAAGATTAAATTTATTGTGTGTAATTAAAACAAGTATAGAATTTTTAAAATACTGATTTTAAAAAATATAAAAAAATTTATCTAGTTTTAGGTATAAATAAGGAAAATAGGAAAATACGAGTAATTATTTAATGTAAAAAATATCGATAGTTCATATTTTAATAATATCCTAAATAATAAGTATTTATTGCTTAAATTTTTATGAATAATTCTGTAATATTTCACTCAAAAATAACAATTTTTTTTTTGGAATAAAGCAATTATTTTCAGTTTAAAATGAAAATTTCAAATAGTCTTATCTTTTTTATTAGAAAATGAATCAACAAAATTGAATTCATTTTTATTTTTAATCATAAAAGTTTGATCAATTCATATTATTTCAAGCTTTTATATTGCATCCCTTGATCCAAAAGTGAATACACTTTCAAAAAGTTGGTTAAAAAGGAACAAAGATTTTCACTTACGGTTTCTTATGTTCCATAAAGAAAAGGGCAAAAGGCCGCCCTTCTGGTATAGTTGTTAGTGAAGCTGACTGCTGTGATGAAGAGCCGGGGCTCGAATCCCGGAGAAGGCATTGATGTTTGTAAATGTGTACTGCCTTTGCGGCCTGAGGGTAATCTAAATAGCCGTCGAGCCGCAAGTCCTCTCGTAAGGTTGGTGAAAGGGGAAGAGAGATGTGGGAGGCCCCTGACTATCCCCAGGGTGTTCTCCCTCAAAATTGAGGTGGAACCGAACTAAATTGTACTGTAAACTGTATGGTACTCAAGGCTGCCGCCAACGCCAGGAGTACATCTAGCCCCTTACCATGATGAATTTCATGGGCCTGAATCTGACGCAGTCGAGATCAGGTGGCATAAGAAGCAATAACAGTACAGCCATCAAAACACGGTACCGAACTTAGCTTGAAATAAATGTAGTTCTCCGTCTTGCAGTAACAACATTGGATCTAAATATCCATAATCTTATTTCAAGTTAGCAGGAACATCCATCACACTAGGAATGTATAATGCTAAAAGTCTGATATACTTAAACCATCTTTTAATTGTTTTGTTTTTACAGTTTTTGTTTATTTTATTATGGTTTATTAATAAAGCTTTCATAATTTAGTTACAATTAATAGTTTCGTTTTATTAACCAGGTACATTTTATATGTGTTCTTAGATCACAACATTTTTTTATACAGTGGTCAGTTTTTTTATACAGTGCAACGATTTCTGCGAATATTGACTTTAAACACCTTAATATGTAACAACAACGAAGCCATGTTTCGTTATTTGTTGCACATAACAGTTCTGTTTCTAATGTAGAAGATTTTGTATTTACAAAGACAAACCTAAGCAAAAAAATCACCATTATAATTTTCAAAAGCAGTTAGGCAAGCAAAATAAGTATTCGACACAGGAAGCTTTGATAACATTTTATATCGAGATACAAAAATATCGTTAAGTGTAGTTGCAAATTTTTGTATCATCTGTTTGGTGCTCAAAGTTAAGGCTAATGACAAGTGAAAATTTAGCTCCGCGATGAATTTCGTGGGCCTTGATCTGATGTTACTTTCGATCTGGTGGCATAAGTAACAACAACAACAAGGATTAAAGTTTATGTTTAACTGAATGGATAAGACGCGCAACGTTCTCGTTTTTCAACACTTCCGTCTCAAAATAGCTTCACCGCAAGAACAAGCGCAAGTTGTAGCGTGATTTATCAAATTTAAATCTGCAATACATGTGTAGCGTAAATGGGACACCATCACACTGGAGTTTGGAAGTTAGAAGAAGCTCCCCGAGAGATTTATTGAAAGAGGACGTCCATACCGCGGCCATCTAGATCTCTAGATGCATCTTCTTGTAAGGATACATGAAAAACATTGTTTACCAATCTTTAATTAGTGACACTGATGAAATGAAAAGATGAATTACAGTGGCCATTCAGATTGTTGATCTTGTAAGGCTTCATAGAACGGGCCTAGAAATCTCGTATAGACTCGATGTGTTGCGCCCAACTAATAGTATGCCAATGAAATCGTGCAGTGAAGCATTGAAAAGAAAACTTCGATATTTTCTTTATGCAACGAGATTTCTTCTTTATACAAAGATGATTTGATATTTTATTTATGCAAACAAGCTTTCTTCTTTATGCAAAGATGATTTGATATTTTCTTTAAGCAAAGTGAATACCTTTATGTACTTTTATTTGTTTATTTATTCATTTATTATTATTATTATTATTATTATTTTGTAGTTAATATCTGAAAGTGTAGTCATAATTTTAGGATACCCGTTAAAAATATGAGTATTTGTCTACTGTGGTTAATTTAATTAACTTATCCTCACTTCCTCCTGCTAAAGAATATTTTTTCTTTCAAAAGTGTTGTGATTGTGTTAATATTGTAATGTGCGTTTTCACACTCACTACAGAAAATAGGCACATTCTATTTTTTTATGTATATAAAACATTCCTTGAAGTTGTTGCGGTCATTTCACAACATATTTATGACAAGATAATCTGGGTTAAAGTTATATAAGTTAATCTTAATAAAGAACTTATCAATTTTATTTTTGGCAATATTAGTCATTTCTTAATCTTACACCAATAAATTTATATAGTACATAGTTTTCTATACAAATTCTTTCAATGTCTTTCTAAACTCCGTACTCATTCAAACTAATTTAATTTCAAGCATTTTATTTGATTATTTTTATTGAATGCTGGCTTTGAATCTATTACGATTATGTTTTACTAAATTTTAAATTTGAAGTGAAGAAACATCTTGAGAAAAGTTAAAACAGAAAAAAATATCAATGAAACAAATTTTATTTTATTATTTTTTTATGTAAGGACAGAAATGTGCATAATTCAGATAAAATTATATTGAATTCAATGTTTAACAAACATGACTTTTACCACTATAACAAATTTAAATAATTAGTTTTATTGATTCGAACATTTTAATGCACTCTTAGCAATTGCAGTATCGTTTTTTTCTATTCTTTTCACAGATAAAGAACATAAATCATTTTTGTATAAGCATAAAGAAATTGTAATCTGCAACAATCTGAATTTAAGTATCAATGTTCGAGGAAAACATTTATTTGTAAATTATACAATTCCGAATCAGTGAAGGCAAGAGGCAAATTTTTTTCACAATTCCTACTGTTAGTTCACACTCTCTCTATATACATTTAATTATTTATCTGTTTATTTATATGTATCTTGTTCAAGTTTTCAATCGTTAATAAAATACTTTTTATTCATCCACTCAAGTTCCAATAAATTTTTTACACTTATAATGGATCGCACTTGATGTTAATACAGTTTTTTCAAATATTAGTTCATTATTAAAATTAAAAATGGATATATAGTATCAAATAAAAATAATAGCACAACAGCATATGTAGAAATGAAAGGCGTACGTTGTATCCATGTAGAGCAATTAGTAGCGCGTTGGACTTCTAATTCGAAAGTCGTGGGTTCGAATCCCACCTGGGATGGCCTAATTTCTGGGAATGTGATTTCTTTTTTCTATTCTATTTTATTGGAACAATTAAATTTAATTAATGAATAAATAGTAACAAAAACAAAAATAATATTCCAACATCATACATAGAAAGGAAAACACGGAAAATATTACTTTCTATTTTGTGATTCTGTCATATGTATATACATATATTTATATTAACTGTAGTTATTCAATATAAAGTAACTAAAAAATACTTTTTCCGTTGAACTAAGTAGGAATTGAAGGAATCCTAAAGAGAATTATATCATTTGTTTTTTTAAAAAATTGAATTCTAGAAAAAAATAAATTCTGTTTGAATTTTTAACTTACATGTTTTTTATGAATTTTTTTTATACTAAATGTAGTATCTTCTTTTATGCATGTTTTTAAAAAAATAAATAACGAAGAAAGTTGAATTTTGAACTAGCAAGGATGAAAATATTTAATTTTCAGCTGTCTTGAATTAAATGTATTAATTCTAGTACTATTTTCAAGCCATGAGCTGCACACAACGCAACGAAGACCTCACTAAATGCAACATAATTTGTAGAGTATCCCCCGAAGGGTCAACAGTGATTGATACAGATAAGAATAGCACTTAACACGATCATTATCCTCGCAGGGAGAGCGATAGAAACGCCACTATTCGGTTTAAAACAATTTCCTCTATTACAGCTGTATTCCGAGATTCAATATCTCCTATCAGGTAATAATTCAATTCTGCCTCTTAATAATTTAACGATGAATAATGGATACCGTGGATTATTTATTCTTTATCTATATAAAGATAATTCGACGGTTCAACCTGACTTGGATTTATAAAGCCGCTGGCCAAACGCTGCAGAAGTAGGATTTGATTGCTAGAAATTAATGTCATTTTGATGTTAATGTGGCCCAATATGGGATTGAATTTCATCTTGAGATAGTCGGCCTCTTTCTTTCCTTGTAGATTAATTCTTTATGAGTAATAATGATTAGAAGGTAATTAATGAGGGATATATAATAAGTCGATGTGTAAATGAAATTTCCTTGGCTATTTATTCGAAACTAATATTACACAAAGGGGTTTCCTTGTGAATAATTAGACTTATATTAGCCAAAATGATTTACTGTATGATAACTTATTAAATTTGCTTTTGATTGGATGGAGAAAAAAATTGTATAACTTCAATGCTGCAATTGAAATTAAATTAAACTCGTTGGCATAAAAAGGCTTAAACTTATTTTTTATTCTTTATGCTATTATGTTATATAAAATAATTATTTTTCAATAAATTTCTTGTCGACTTTTTTTCTTAATATAATATTTGTCAAATAAGTAACATATATTGTTCAAATAATTCTAAATAACTGTTAGGTAGGAATACTTAAGAATTGATCATACATATCACTTCAGACTTTCTTGATTCATAGAAACAAAAACATAATTGAAAAAAAAGTCATCACACACATGGAAGCTTTATTCAAACTCAAATATGTATAAGTATGTTTCAGTCATTTTCAAAATATTTATTTCTCAAAACTCTGTAAGTAAATAAATATAATCTTCACATAGAATTTTAATAAAGTTATTTTTTTTTCCTAATGAGCTACATATTGGGAACTAGGCCTTTGCAGACACGACAAGTCCCCAAATGCGAGAGCCATTTCATAGTGGCACAACTCTCGTTACCAAATTTTAACACTTTTCAAGCTCTGGTCATTACATATTGCAGTGATTTCATGCCGAGAGTACTAGAGTTAAATTGAAACTCAAGAGATCTTTTAGAAGCCACATAATCATATGACTTACGTGCCTACACTTTTTGCATCCAGAATATATATCTACTCCAGCCGGGATTGAATCCACAATCTTAGACATCCGAAGTAGGCACGCTACCTCTAAGCCACCCACCTGACTTAATAAAGCTATGAAATTGCACTAAAAAAGAATTGTGTTCCGAATTATGAGGTGTCGATGTATTGGAAAAATTTCGTAAATTTGTTTCGTGTAGAGGTGTTTTTGTGTTTGAATTATTTAATCATTCTATTCTCATAATGTAGTCGATTGCGTAAATGTCTATTAACATCGCAATTTAAAGCAACACGAAAGTTAGTGTTGACGAACCTAGTAATTTTGAACCGCGATCAAGTCACTTGGACGACACTTGACAGCGCATAGAATTTGAGATTAAAGTAAGTACAAAACGCTTAGTTGAAGGAACAGTTCACTGACTGCCCTGTAAATTGCCTGTTGTACAGTAGTATTCAAATGAAATTTATAAGTATTTTTGGTTGCATAAAAAAATTGTAACTATTTTTGTTATAAATACCATTATAAAATTCTACAAAAAAGCAGTGAATTGTGATTCTTATCAGGCAAATTACTTTGTTACATCTAAATTTAGTGTAAACTGATTTAAAATGTACTTTTTAAATGCATACATATCACAGTTATAAAGATATAAAATTTAATTCCAATTAAAAAAGAGGTTGCTTTACGAATTTTAAAACAAATATATGTTGCCAAATGATTTAAGAAAATGCATTCTCTTAAAGATGAATGAGTTATTCACTTAAGAGAATGTATTCTCTTATGATCTTATCTCATAAGATCAAAAGCTAAAATTCTATTTTGTTTTCTTTCACTCTTCTGAATTTTGGTTAATTTTATTTTATGTTAAGCAGTAGAGGTTCTAAAAATTCTGTGTTGGGGCATAAGATATATCACATTTGCACATTAATATCGATTCTAAATCTACCACAAAGCAACTTACGAGCACCGGTGACAATGAACAGTACTTTAATATTCAGCTTTCCAGAATTCTCTACCATTAACCCATACCAGAATAGAAATATACGTAGATTAATGGAGTTCAGTTCATACAAAACCACAAATATAATTAACCTCCATTTCTTTTCATCGCTCATAATTGATGTATAACCCATAACTTATACCACTGAGTGTCTGGTGTGAAATATTTAATCCTTCACTCGGCAAATTAAAGCGCCATAGATGACCATATATACCATATGTGTTTCCCATCACTAACTGACGAAGTATGCTCATTATTGCCTTTGATGCATGTATCATCCAGACGTGTTAATAGCCCTATCATGGTAATAAAACGCTCGCCCTAAAAACAATTGACGTTTCCGAGAATATAACAAAGTCTCACGTCTCTTCTATTGTTGAAGAACAATTTCTTTTGGCCCATCTTGGGCCAAACTGATACGTGAGCAATGTATCTAATGAAAAAGTCGTGATTGAATTCGACCACACGTACCAAACCATCCTCAGCGATTAAGGAAACCCCATTACATGAAACTAAAAATATATTTTTAAGTACTCGCTTCCGGTATAAAGAGGGTGATTGAGGTTCTAAACTTCATGTTCTGAGGCGGTTCTTACAATCGTCCTTTGGTCTTCATCCTCAATAACTCTATCACTATAGTGGATGACTTTTAAATGACTACCTGCGGTATCAGCGACTTGCCTACTTTGTTTTGATCGTGGGATAGAGTTAGTTCTTTCCCTTCCATTATAGCACCTGCGGTAGTTGATCATAATGCATGGACGTGAAATTGAATTGTCATAAATCAGTAACGGTCGCAAGTCAGTCATAGTTGTTGGATGCAAGCAAATGGAGGATTGTTTTCAAAAGAAATGCATGATGAATGAATGGAAATATTTCTTTATTTTACCTCCGTACAGATTTGTTTTTGTTCCGGATCTTGTGTTTCAAGCAATGATGAAAGCCTGAAGCACAAACAGCTCCGTAATCTTTAAGGTATCCGACTACTTGCGACAACTTTTTTTAAAAAAAATGGAGATATGGAGATTTTTTGTGGTTTTTAGATTTATTTAGTACATTTTAAGAAGAATAAGCTAAAATTAAGAAGAGAAAAATAAATTCTTACTATTAAAATGGGGAAAAAATGGGTAAAAATTGACAAAAAATTACGTAAACGATGCCCACTCTGTACAAATAGTAAATGAACAAATTCTCAATTTTTTTAATTTTGCTGAATTACTTTGCTATTCCTTTTTGAAATGACCTTCAGGATAAGAGATATTTTAATTTTTACAAAAACTAGAGCACTTTATCTTAGTTATATGAAATTTCTTAAAAAAATAGTGTTTATATTCACATAAATAACTGTAAATTTTGTAATAAAACAGTGATTGATAAATATGTGACGGTTATAACACTTATACTATTATACAGAACGTACACAAAAGATGCCAGAAAATTATTTTAAAATTTTTTTTGAGCAATTGCTGCCCCCGTTTGAGCATTTAAAAAAAACACATTTCGAGTAAAACGCTTTTTAAAGTATGACATCTTGCTTAAAGTAATGTTAGTAAAAAATTACTAAAACTATTGTAGTTTTTGTTCTAGTGAATAGAAAATAAAAAACTGGTATTTTTGTAAAACTAATAAGATGGCCTTTAAAATAAAACCATAAAAAATATATCATTTTTTTAAAAAAAAACCCATGATTTTAGGGTAGTCGGATACCTTAATGCAAAACTAGATTACAATGAATTCCGTTATTGAGCAAATCACATAAAATATATTAGACAGCCCATTAAGTATTTAAAAAATTACCTAAAGCATACATCTATCACTGGTAAAAATTTCTTTTTAAAGAAGTATTAATATAAAGGACCATTTCTCATTTTTCGTTTCATCAGATTCACCCCTAAGTACAGTCGGACCTCCATTTTACGAACCTCTTTTTTGCGAATATATATAATTAGCAAACTTTTCCCTGGAACCAAAAACGTAAAACATATGAGAAATGAATCTCTTTTTAAAGATTTTTCCACATAATGAATCTTATTTTCGCGATTTAGTGACTTCGTTAAATAGAGGACTAACTGTGTATTTTTTTAATCTACTTAATTTTTATGAGTGAAATTTTTAATCTACTATTCTGAAATATACAAACAGGAAAAAACGTAAATTAATATTTATTAATTATATCACGGAATTCGTTAAAAAAATT